CACACACACACACACACACACACACACACACACACACACACACACACCAGAGATGGTATTCAGCAGGTTCTGACCAGTTCTGGAGAACCGGTAGCAGAAACTTTGAGTAGTTCAGAGAAATGGCAAATACCACCTCTGATTGGCCCCGCCCCTATCTATTCTCTGCCTCCCGAGCCCCAGCTGGTCAGCTGGGTCTTTTTTTGTTACCCTGCACAAGAGAACAGAGCTGGAAATCAGGTTAGTGGGATGGGGAGGGAATTGAGATTTTGCAGTAACCTTCTCCTGCCACGTCCTCCAACCCATGCCCACAGAACCGGTAGCAAAAATTTTAGAATCCCATCACTGACACACACACAAGTTATAGCTTCAGACCAAGAGAATGATAGTTGTACTTCAGGTTCAGGTTTGTCTATTTTGTCTTCAGCCTCAGAGTTACAGAGTTGATCAATATGTGAATTTTCTTTCTCAAATAGGATTAACGCAAAATGTAGACGCCAGCTACTGGATTGCTCTTAGTAATCCAGATTTTGACAATGGATGGCAGTGGACTAATGAACAGCCTTTAAGATATTTAAATTGGGCTCCAGGTGAGTAAATATATATAATTAGAAGGCCATTGGTATTTCATAAAGAAAAATGTAAACATTTAAGGAAATTAAAATTAGAATATATAAAATAAAATTCTTATTATCTTATCCAAAATTATTCTTTATTTTTCTTCTTTTTTCTTCTTTAAATAGGTTAGGCTAGCATTTAAAATTTTTGTAGTCTTTTACGTGTGTGTGTGTGTGTGTGTTTGTCTGTGTCTGTGTCTGTTTTTGTGTGTGTATGAAATATTTATTATATTTTTATTTAATTGACACTTTCTCTAGAAGTGCTCTAGCATTCTTATATGAAGTATATAAGAAGTATATAAATATTGATTCTTTATAGTATTGTCACCTTCACTATTTTCATCACCCTGAATATGCCCCTGATCCTGACAGAAAACTCTTAAAAGTGTTTAGCTGAATGTGGTAATAATCCTCTTCTGTAGAGTTCATAGGCTTGTGCAAGGTGACTCCATTTCTCACTAATGTGCCACCTAACTTCTGTCACTCATGACAGTTGAGATGGAAGCTGTGCCTTGACTTGTTCTGCCACATATACAGACTTGATCTGGCTGGCTCCTTTGATCTGATCAAAAGGGTCACTGATTGAAGGTAGGCAACCACTACAATCCAGTTCATCGAAGGAGAATACCAGTTTGGCTGACTGTCTTGTTCGGAGGGATTGTACTGAAGTTCTGTTGAAATGAAGCATCCTTTCAAAGCTTTACACTGTTCTAATACTTAGCATTATAACAATTGGAAAACTGTCATAAGATTGATTTGCTTACAGATAAAAATGTTATCATCTTGGACATCAAACAGTGATAGGATAATCTAGTTCACTGTCTCTTACAGGTAGCCCTTCTTCAGAAACAGGAAAAAACTGTGGATTATTGCAGGGTAGGAATGGCAAATGGGCAAATAATCTGTGTGAACAGAAGCATGGATACATCTGTAAAAGAGTGAACTCTTCAGTACAGGCACCTGGACCTTCTCCAGGTAAATTGTAAACTGTAAATTCAGTTAACTGTATAAATATTGTTTCAATAATAAACAGATAATCAGATAATCAGAGTTGGAAGGGACCTTATAGGTCATCTAGTCCAACCCCCGCCCAAGCGGGAGACCCTACACCATTTCTGACAAATGGCAGTCCAATCTCTTCTTGAAAGTCTCAAGTGATGGCATTCCCACAACTTCCGAGGGCAAGATGTTCCATTGGTTGATTGTTTTCACTGTCAGAAAGTTTCTCCTTATCTCCAGGTTAAATCTCTCTTTGTTCAGTTTCCATCCATTATTCCTTGTCTGGCTTTCAGGTGCTTTAAAAATAGCTTGACCCCTTCCTCTCTGTGGCAGCCCCTCAAATATGGAAGACTGCTATCATGTCTCCCCTGGTCCTTCTCTTCGCTAGACTAGACATGCCCAGTTGATATGAATGGCATTCATGTTCCAGATAACATTTTTTAAATTCTTTTCCTACTGAGGGTTGCTGGCCACTACTGGATTGTGGCCTATACAGAATTGGGCCATGTAAGTAGCTGGCTGGAGTGTGTGCGCAGGCACAGCTCAACTTACATGAGTGAAGGGCCAGTGGGTGCTATTGTGCAAGCTCCATGCATGCATGCCAACCTACCATTTGCATAAGGGCTGCATGCATGCGCAAGTTCGTACAACCCAGTTCCCCTCTGCAGCCAGGCCGTCAAATTTTAATATGAAATGTAGCACACCTCTTAAATCCTGAAGATTTGCAGAACTAAATGTATCTATGCATAGGAAATATCTTACATTGCAGATGGTCCTCATCCTATGACAAGGTACTTAAACAATCATTCAAAATTAAGACAGACCCAGAATTCAGGTGCCGTAAAACATCTCTAGCCATCATAAAATGTCATCTCATTCCTCACCTGCTTCCTGAGTTCATGTAACTGCATTTCAAGGACTTGGCAACTACCTTACCTTTCGGACCAGTTGTTATGTCCTGCAATCACAAACCATGATTTGTGCCATAATTACAAAATCTGGCCCAACCATAGTTGTAAATCAACAACTATCCCTATTAATTATATATACATTTCTGTACTCATTGGCGTAGTTTTAGGTTTTCTGCCAAATTTATTTTCAAAAAAGTTTATTCACTATAAATTTCTATGAATTAAGATGAAAGTTTTGAAGGAAAGCAACAGTCTGATTAAAAAATAGTCATGCCAATTAACATGCACTGCAAAAAAGCACTATATAGGGCATAAAAAGTATCTGCCTGATCCATGAAAAACTAACTTCAAAAATCAGATTTGATTACAATAAATCTTGATCACACTTCTAGCAAATATCCTCATAACAATGGACAAATTACTCTCATCTTTAATAAGAATTGTCAGATTTGCTTCTACTAAATTCTATTTATTGAATTAATTGCATCATAATACAAGGTCAAGATTTTCTCCCTACTTCCACTCCCAATTCTTGATGGTGTACATATAACTATTGTCTTTTTTAGATGATCTTAAGCCAGTTAAATGTCCAGGTGACTGGGTTGGATATGCAAAGCACTGTTACCGTCTGAACAGAGATCGCAAAACGTGGAAGGATGCCTCAGTCTCCTGCCAAAAGGATGGTGGACATTTACTAAGTATACATGACATTGAGGAATACAGCTTTGTTTTTTCTCAGCTTGGTTACAGTAAGTATATTTGGAAGGCTTATTTCCTCTTTCATATACTCTGTGGGTACATGGATTCCAGGAAAAGAAAGGAATAGCTGCTGACGTTGGTATCACAAGGGGAAAAAGGTGTTTATTTAGGCCTTAAAATATTTGTAAAAAATCTACTCAGCTTGTGTGGTTTAAATGATGCAACAGCTGCTGCATACATCTGTGGCAGTTTAGCACAGACATTTTCCAGGCAGTTATGTCACATATAGACTCTTATATCCTGGTCAACATAGCACAGAGTTATATCAGTGGAGGATTATATACAACCTCTGGACTTCATTCATTACATTTGAGAGCAAATGAATAAAATAAATTTATCTTTTAGAATCAACAGATAATTTGTGGATAGGCCTAAATGACCAGAAGACTTCTTCATATTTTGAATGGAGTGATGGTACTACAGTAAGATTCATCAGATGGCAGAAAGGAGAACCCACACTTATAAGCAACGTGCAGGAAGACTGTGTTATCATGAGTGGGAAGGTAACAATAAGAACCCTTAATTGCCTGGGGGAGGATTTTTTTTCCTCTTCCGTTCCTGCTTGGATAAAATTTGTGTCTAGAAATTTGTTTAATGCAACCTATTTTCCATAACACAATTTATTCCACAGATATACATTTCTTAATTTTTTCCTCTTTCCACTTTTAAAATTATGAACAACCCGAAAGAGTTTTTGTTCTGACATTTATCATATTAAAAATTGAAATTGACATATTTGCTGCTACTATCTCCTCTTACAATTGTTTGAATGGAGTTTTAATATTGTGTTATTTTTTTTAATGTGGGCTGGAAATAATTCTAACTTCATGGTTCCAGGAGCCCTATGACCACACTTTAAGAATCACTGTTTTTGCTAATAGCAATAGCACTTAGACTTATATACCATTTCACAGTGCTTTTACAGCCCTCTTTAAGTGGTTTACAGCATAAGTATATTGCTCCCAACAACCTGAGTCCTCATTTTACCAACCTTGGAAGGATAGAAGGCTGAGTCAAGCTTGAGCCAATGAAAAGCAAACTGCCAAACTGCTGGCAGCTGGCAGTCAGCAGAATTAGCCTGCAATACTGCATTCAAACTACTGCGCTACTATAGTTTCCATTTTGAGAGCCTCCAAAACAGGGTTGGAGATATTTTTATTTGATTAACGGGTTAGTATAGAGTTGTCCCATTCTAATTTATCTGCCAGCTCTAGGTTAATGCCTGGTTTAAATTATTATGGATGTGTATATTCTGGAGTGTATTGCTTTCAAATATTTTTGATGCGTTCATTCTTTTAATGTTAATATTTGCCTGCTGGGTTGCTGTTAAGTACTGAGCTAATTTTATTGATCATGATGATTGCATTTTTGTTTAACAATATTCTTTTATAAGGGCATTATTATTTATCACAGTCAGGAATGAATACATAAGGGTGTTTAACTCTATATAGAAAGGCTGGGCTTTAATACTTGGAGGGGGAACAGGATGTTAGTAATAAAGTGATTAATTATGTCAAGTAATTGTGATTATTAGTCACACTCATAAACATTATTTTGGGGGGAAATCTTCATTTATAAAAGCAACATAATTCCTACTTTTTAGCTTATTCTACGGTTTGGTAATTACAGAGGGCTCTAGGAGCTGCTAAACGAACAAACATTTAGAAGTCTCATGGAGCCTTTAACTGTCCATTCATACTTAAATAAATTGCTACTATGTAATTAATACTTTGCTTTAAAATGTATAATAGATTGTAATAAGTAAGTAAATTAAGAAATACATTCTGAGTTCAATTGAGCATTTTTTTCAGAAGACTGGGTATAAAATTTTAATCTGCATTGACTGAAAAACAAAAGCTTATTTAGGCGTGCTAAATTTGGATTTAAGTGTGCTCTTGGCTGTATATTTGGTGGAAAAAAAACCCCAATGCAATTATATTTTATATTTTGGAAACTTGAGGTAATATTAATGAATTATATTTTGGAATAATTTAATTTTTGTGGACTAAAGACAATGTTTACCATTCCCAACTTAATTTAAATATTTATACCTTTTTTGCAAGATGTTAGTATGTCTGCAGATTTTCGACAAATTAAGCTATAACAAGTATTGTGCAGTAATCCCGCTCATGAAAAAAAAAAAGCAAAAATATAAATCATAAAAAATAGGAAGGGGTAAAAGTAATGGATTCCTTTTCAGTGAGGTTTGTTCATTCTTCCATCCTCAGAATGGATACATGGCGGATCATTTCTGCGAAGATGAATTAGGATACATCTGTAAAAAAGAGTCTTCAGAATTTCTTCCTGAAACCGAAGTAGTTGCTGATCCAAAATGCCAAAAAGTAAGCTAAAGAATTGTGTAGCTCTTGATCTTTTATAATAGTTATTCATTTTCTTATAAAGTATTGGAAATATCAACCAGAAAGCTACTTTTGCCTTCAGATTAATAGTCTCCTCCAATGGTGGGATTCATTTTTTTTTTACTACCAGTTCTGTGGACCTGGCTTGGTCATGGCAGGGGAAGGATATTGTAAAATCTCTATTCCCTCCCCACTCCTGGGAGAAGATTACTGCAAAATCCCATTCCCTCCCCACTCCATTAAACTGCTTTCCAACTCCGTTCTCTTGTGCAGGGCAACAAAATAAGACCCAGCTAATCAGCTGGGACTCGGGAGGCAGAGAATAGATGGGGGCAGGGCCAGTCACAGGAGGTATTTGCCGGTTCTCCGAGCTACTCAAAATTTCCACTACTGGTTCTCTACAACTGGTCAGAATCTGCTGATTACCACCTCTGGTCCCCTCCACTCCTAACATTGGTGTCGACTCTTAGCAATCACATAGATAGAAAGATTTTCTCTGCAAGATTATAAAAAGACAATTTATTCACATTTCCATATGACAAAAAAACAAACAAACTGTTGTGTTGGCAGACGGACACACCAGGCAGACACAGGTGTTGAAGAATAACGTTTCTTTTATTTGAAGAGTAACAGGTTATCGTGGCTGCCCAGCTGGGCTGGCAGCCTGCTGGCTGGAGCAGCTGATGCCGTTTGACAGCTCCTTTTATAGTCTGCTGTCAAACGGCACCAACCAATGGGAACAGTCGGTGCTCCCGCTCAGAATGCGGACCAGATTGAAGACTTAGCTAGTCAGGGACACTACACCCCTTTCCCCTAGCTAAGTGCATTCGCGGCCCCGCCTTCTGAGGATCCATGGTACAGAAGAGGAAGTTGAACTAGTGGGC